CAGAGAGAGTCTGCATCAGAATCACTCAGGAAACATGAATGATGCCCCAGAGATCCAGGTTCAGTAGATCTGGGGTGGGTCCCAGGTAGGCTTGACCTATAAAATATGAGACACCTAGTTAAATTTGAGTTTCAGATAAACAATGATTTTTTTTTGTATAAGTATGCCCCAACTATGAAATTCATGAAATTCAAATTTAATTTAACTGTGTATCTTGGTATTTTTTTCTTAAGACTTTTATTTATTTATTTATTTGAGAGAGAGAGCGAGCACGAGCAGGGCGGAGGGGCAGAGGGAAAAGGAGAAGCAGGCTCCCAGCTGAGCAGGGAGCCCCATGTAGGGTTCGATATCAGAACCCTGGGATCATGACCTGAGCCAAAGGCAGATGTTTAACCGACTGAGCCACCCAAGCACCCTCCCCGATTATTTTTTATAATAATAAACCTACCTAATTCTTTTTTTTTTTTTAATCTTAGAGAGAATGCGGACTTGTGTGCAAGGAGGGGGAGAGGGAGAGAAAGAATGTTAAGCAGGCTCCACGCTCAGCACACAGCCTGTCACAGGGCTCAATCTCACGATCCTGAGATCACAAACTGAGCCGAAATCAAGAGTTGGACACTTAACCGACTGAGCCACCCAGGCATCCCAACCCTATCTGATTCCCTACAGATTCAGCCAGGTTTGGCCTAAATCTTCTACAATCCTTCAAGTATTTGAAGATAGGGATTCTGACCACCTGTATACTCTTATCACCTCCCTATTCTAGACATCATATCTTTGTTGAGGCAGCCTAAGATAATATGCCACAATATGATATTGACTCAAATCGGGTCTGTGACCACTGAAGATCCCTAAATCCTTCCTAAATATGCTGCTTCTAAATCATGTCCATCCCATTCCAATTTTAGAAAGTTAGCTTGGGATCCAGCTTCAGAGTGAGAGATTTGTCTCTGTCCTGTTCCACCTTCTTCAATTCCTTTCATCTTTCCAGCCTACTGAGTCCTTTTAGAAACTGACTCTATTTATGAGGCTTCTCAGGTGCTGTCCTCGATGAATCTGATCATCAGATTATCAATGTTCCATCCAGTCAGTGGTGAACATACCAGATCAGACATGGGTGAGGACAGAGCCCTGTGGTCCTCCACTAAATACCTCCATCTAATGTGACATTGACCCATGAATCAGCTCCCTTTGAGCACAGGTCAGTCTATCCACTGATTACAACAGTGCAGAATATTCATTCCAATAACCGCAATACCTCTCTCTCCTTATGCAGTTTCACAGGGATTCCATAAAAGATAAGGTCAGATGCCTCTCAGAGAGACCTTGTGCCTGCAGTAACTCCCTGGTCGGCTGGCCCAGCACCTGCAGCTTGGAAGGAAATGGGCTCCACATGCAGTGACTATTCTTAGGGGCCTGGCATTCAGGGGTCATCCTTCAATAACCTATCTCTGATTCCTGCCTGGTGGCGGCCTCCAAGCCACCAGGTGAAGTTGGTAAAATCCACCATCCGTCCCAGTGAAAATCCAGATGGCCCCTGCCCCCGTGCCCATATACCCTCTCTTTTCCTTCTTAGAGCCATTCCTGAAAGATTGCCCTCAGCGGGCTAGCAATCTTAGCCAGGTATTCTCCTAGTGCTGGGGATAGAACTCCTCGGGACGGGGCCTGGAGATCTGAGTGTGCTCAGAACTGCTCCCACCAGCTTCCTCTCCCCACTGCCCTCAAGGAACTCAGGCCAACTTCTAGGCTGGGGAGCCTTGCCCATGTCAGAGGAAAAGCATGCAGGGCAGCATGGCTCAGAACCTGGTTCCGTGGGCTCCCCTGGAGCCTAAGCACTTTCCCCCCATACCCTCAGCACATCTCTTCCAAGTGATGGGTAGGCTCTGGGGAACCAGAATGAAGGGATCCCTCCCCTCAAAGGGCTCACAGTTCAGGGCGCCTGGGTGGCTCAGTTGGTTGAGCGACTGCCTTCGGCTCAGGTCATGATCCTGGAGTCCCGGGATCGAGTCCCACATCGGGCTCCCTGCTCAGCAGGGAGTCTGCTCCTCCCTCTGACCCTCCCCCCCTCATGTTCTCTCTCTCTATCTCATTCTCCCTGTCAAATAAATAAATAAATAAATCTTTAAAAAAAAAGGGGGCTCACAGTTCAGGAGGCGGGGGTCAGATGCAAACAACAAGTTGAACTTCAGTATCTATAGAGGTGAGGACAAAAGCTGGAGCACAAATAGATAATGGCCCACTCTTCCTGAGAAGCCAGGACAGCTTCCCAGAGGAGGTGACATTTGGGCTGGGCCCTGAAGGATGAGCAGAAGCTCCCCAGGTGGGAAAGAGAGGAAATGGAATTCCAGCACAGGGGAACTCTATAGGCAAGGGCCCAAAGGAATGAGAGTACATGTCTGGGGACTGATGACCCAGGCCAAGGGGCTGGATGTTGGCTGCAGGATGAGGCGTAGCAAGGGAGGAAGTTGCAAGATAGCATAAGGCAAAATGTGAAGGGGTCTTACACGTTGTTAAGGACTCTGCCAGGCAGTACTCGATCCTGCCTCCTGTTGTAATTATCTTCTATTTGTTCCACCCATGTGCATCAAGCTCCACCTGCGCATTCAGGCAGTTTGCTGGCACTAGGAGTTGAAAGCTAAGCAGCTCTCAGGGCGGGGAGGTGGGGGAGGGCAGACCTGTGAGCCCACGGTGACAACAGCCACTAGAGGCTATTAACCAGGGCATAACACAGTCTGATGTGCTCCTGGACTGATCTCTCAGGTTGCTGATGGTGATGGTGGCGTGAGGGGTGAAGGATGAGGGAGGCAGGATGTAGAGGCAGCGGATCAGAGTGAGGGGCTTGGATTTTGCTGGTGTCAGGAGGGGAGCCAAGTGGATAAGTGGAAGCCATGTTGAGAAGAGGTGATGGGGACCAAACTTGGCGACAGGTAAGCTGCGGTGGGCCAGGGCAACAGGGGTCTCCAAGCCCCACACATGTCCACACATGTTGGTCCGTGGTGCGGGTGACCAACAGCCGGAAGGGTCACCCATGGCCAAGCACTGTGGCCAAGGCAGGTGGAGAGCAGGGCTCTCAGAGCTCCGTGTGGGGCTTGGGAAATGTGTGGTGCTTGTGGGTCACCCCACGAGAGGTCCTGGTGGAGCTGGGGGCAGGGCTGGGCTAGGACAGAGGCGGGAAGCTGGCAGGGCTTAGGGATGGAGAGAGAGGTTAGAAGAACAGGTCTGGTCTGTAAAGCCCCAAGAGCCTTCCTCTCCAGAAGAGTCTAGATGATGCTCCCAGGCACAGGTAGGGACCAGAGGCTCAGAGGTCAGTGACATCCTCAGGGTCACACAGCAAGGAGTAGGGGAGCCTGGCCTAGAACCCAGGGGCTTGGGATTTAGGGGGATGAAAAGAGTTTATGGGAAAAGAGTTTATGTTCTCATCGTCACCGTCACTGCCTGTCACTCTGTCCCCTTCCCTCCCTTCCAGTTTTTGTGGCTCCGAACACCCCCACCCCATCACTACAAGGCCAGTGAGGGGAGTGACTGTTGTGGGGTTGTGTTGCAGGAAAGGCCCCATCTAGGATGTCCAGACATGCCCAATCCCTTCTTCCCACCTCCCTCCACAATTCCCTCCTTCCCATCCCACTCCCTGGGAAGGAGGCCTCTCTGTTGCTTAGCAACTAGCTGGAGCCTAGGAGAAAGGAAATGGAAATAGCAGGAGGTGCCTCCCCTCTGTCAAGATAGGTCCTTGGTGCACATGAGGGTGCTTGCCCGTGTGCATGTGCATACTCTACTCTGAGCCTAGTGTGGAGCCAGGGCCTCCTACCTTTGGGGCCATTCTGACTCCCACATCACTCAGCCTGCAGGAGGATGCAGCTGTCAGCAAAGCTAATGTTAGTGCCATTTTGGTCACATCTTCAGGAGCAGCGTTTCCAGAACAAAGGAGGGGACAGACCTGTGGGTGTCCCTCTGGATCCGGCCCACACCTGGAAGGTTGGCTTTGGAAAAGTTGGCCAGATCAACTGAAAACCGCACGTGTGGGTGGGATTGCAGTCAACTGCATCTTCCCATCTCCCGCAGGGCTGCCCTGGGAACCGACTGGGAGTGGGGAGTCCATGTAGCCTGTGACCCCATAGGCCAGGGGTCAGTGGGTGTTCAGAGTGAGGTGGAGAAGTTTAACTGAGGCTGAAGGAAAAACAAAAATAAAACTGACAGGGCGCCTGGGTGGCTCAGTTGGTTAAGCGACTGCCTTCGGCTCAGGTCATGATCCCGGGGTCCTGGGATCGAGTCCCACATCGGGCTCCCAGCTCAGGGGGGAGCCTGCTTCTCCCTCTGACTCTCTCCCCTCTCATGCTGTTTCTCTCTTGCTCGCTCTCTAATAAATAAATAAAATCTTTAAAAAAATAAAAATAAAAAAATAAAACTGACAGATTTTACCTGGGGCACCTGGCTGGCTCAGCTGGAAGAGCACTCAACTCTTAATCTCAGGGCTGTGAGTTTGAGCCCCACATTGGGTGTAGATTACTTAATTAATTAAATAAATACGTAAATACATAAATAAATAAACTTAAAAAAAAGACAACTAACAAATTTTCCCAGAGACCGATGTGGTTACCTGGGGAAGTTACTAGCAGGTGTGCAAGCGGGGGCCCAGGAATTGGTATAAGGGAGCGTGCGTTGCCTAGGTGGTTACTAGGTCCCTGGAGATGACTATTCCAAGCCCGCGGCCCTTGGAGGCATTCTAGTCCAGCATCCACCCACTTTGCAGATGGGAAAGCCTGGTGTCCAATCCCCCCCCTCATGCCCTGAGGTGTGATCCAAAGGTGCTAACCTGACATCAGCCCCCGCCCCCCCCCCACCCAAGCATGAGGGGAAGCGGATTAGAGCCATGAGTGGGCCTTTAAATCTCCAGGATTAACCCGAGCGCACAGGAGCTTAGCAGGTGGCCGAGAAGTGACCACCCGCCTGGTGTCTGTGTCTGTCTCACAGGGCCGAGGCCAGCGGCTCCGGGGCCAGCCGCCATGTCCTCCACCGTGAACAACGGGGCGGCCACCATGCCGTCCCCACCGGACGCGGCGAACGGCTTCCCGCAGCCGGGCGCCTCCTCGGGGACCTGGCCGCGGGCGGAGGAGGAGCTGCGCGCCGCAGAGCCGGGCCTGGTGAAGCGCGCGCACCGCGAGATCCTGGACCACGAGCGCAAGCGGCGCGTGGAGCTCAAGTGCATGGAACTGCAGGAGATGATGGAGGAGCAAGGGTGAGCGGGCCGGGGGCGGGGCGGGGCGGGGCCGGCGAGGCTTGAAACCCTGCGGGCAGGCCAGGGGCCAGACTGATCCAGTTGGGGTGGGGCCCTTGCAAGGCCAGACGAACTTCATTCATTTATTCGTTTATTCAACCAATAAGCTGTCTTGAACGCCTGCCCTCCGTCGAGCTCTGAACTAGGCTCAGATGCACGGACGCCAAGGAGACACAGTCCATGTCTTCCAGAAACATCCAGTCCAGCGGGGGGGGGGGGGGGGGGGGGGGAAAGAAGCATCGAAACATCCATGGCAAGTCAAGGTCTCAGTTTGCCCTTCTCTAAAACGGCTCTGTTGAGCTTCCTGGACTCTGCCAAGCAGGTGCTGCAGCCACGCCCGAGGGCACAATGGGCCCTTACTACGCGGGCGGGCGGGGAGACTGCCTGTGGTTTCAGCAGAGGAGTTCCTGCCGGCAGCCACACCTGAAAGTTTCGGTTTTACCTGTCCAATTTAGAACTAGTCACAGGGACACGCAAGGGCGCCATGTACTGTGCTGGGCAATGTTGGGCCCCAGAGCCAGATTTGAGTCCCTTCCTCAAAGACCACCCCTCGTCCCCCTACTCCCTCCCCATCTCAGGAGAGAAACAAGCATGTTTACAACCAACTCCACCGTAAAACAAATTAGAATCATGGTTAGGGGACAGGACAGGAGAGGGCCAAGTGCTTCAGGAGCTCAGGGGAGAGATTCTGAGAAAAGATGTTTGAATGGGCCTTGAAGGATGAGTAGGAGTTCGTCAGGGCTTGTGCACTGATCAGTCAGGAAGGATCTTTTTAGGGACTTCCCTCAAAAGTCCAGTGGAGACAGGACAGGCCTAGCACATGGAGCTGGAGGCAAAGAAACAGAACATGGGAATGTCCAGGCTGGGCCTGGATCCAGGGTCCTCAGGGGGCAGCCAGGCAGGCTCCCTGGGGCACAGAGACTTGGTCCAGGTGGGGGTGGGGAGGGTCCCTGCAGAGAGTGATAAAAGGATGGAAGGCAGCTGAAGGCAGGCAGAAAGGAGGCTTCCAGCTGGCAATGAAACCAGGTTTGATGAGCTGTGGTTGTGGACAGAGGAAACGAGATCCCTTAGGGAGAGGGTTGAGTAAGGGGTGGGAAGAGGAGAGCCCGAGGACCTTATCAACCTACAAATCCTGCTAAATTGGGAGACTCAGGCCTTGAAGGGATTGTGGGCAGGTGGGCAAGGTTAGGGAACAGGAGGGGTGCCTGGGCCAGAAGAGGGCCAGCCTTCTGTGCTGTATTCTTGGGAACTGCCTCCTTCCCCTCCCAGAGGGGAAGGAGGCAGAGCCCCTTGCAGAGCCCCATTCTCTCAGGGACCTCCTAAGGCCCCCTCTCATGGCGCCCCTCCCCTCCAAGCCTCCTCCCCCTCGCTGAATCGCCTTCTCCTCCAGGAGCCCCCAGCCCCTCACTGCACACCAGAGGGTCATTATCAGATGAGAGCAGCCTCAGGCAGAAGGGGTCGGCATTTGGCCATGTCCTTGATGTCAGTCCCCTGGCATCAAGGACCCATGCCTCTCTGGGAGGCACCCACCAGGTCTCCAGTGAGTGCCCTTTCCCCCACCCAAGCCCTCACTCCAGGTGCTCCTTAGACTGGAGTCTCCCGGAAAGCTAGCTCTCAAGTCACCAGCCCCCCCACTCCTACCCCTTAGCAGCGGTCTGGTCAGTGGAGGGCACATCCCAGATGTGAGCAAGCCACGGCGGAGGGCACATCCCAGATGTGAGCAAGCCACGGCTACTTGGCCTGTAAAATAGGGAGTTGTTCTGAGAGTCCCATGGGCTAAAGATGTTCGGGGCTTCCCCACCTCCAGCCAGTCCCCATAAGGTGCTCCACAAACACGGGGCACCCTTGCTCTGTTATAGAATCTAGTCATCAATATCCATTTCTACAAACACTGGTTCATTCGAGCTTATTTACCAGGTTCTCGGGCATTTGACAAATATTCCCACTAGTCACAGGAACACACATTCTTTGGCCCCATTAAAAAGCAATCCCTTCCCTAATATTGATGGATGGCTGGTTAATTCATTGGTGATTGATGCTGCTTTGGAGTCACCTTCCCCGGCAGCCTCCGTGGGCAGCCTGCAATCACCAGAGGGCCAGGATCAGAGCCCCCCCCTGTGTGGTATGCTGCTCCCACCCCAGCCCCAACTCCCTCCACACACACCCACCTATGCCCCTTCCTGTGAGGACTCACAGGGTGCACAGGGTTTGGAGCTTGGAGGCCTCCCTTCTCCCTGTTCTACTTCCTCATCCATCAGATGGGAAGAGGAAGGCTGCCCACCGCCACAGAGCTGCAGGGAAAGACAAATCAGTGACCAAGGAAGCGATTATTTAGGAACCTCCAGGTCTGGGCAGAGACGGGCAGAATGACACAATTTCTAATCTGGGGACCTCTTTGAAAATGCAGTGTCTCCTTACCGCACCCCGACCTCAGAGGGCCATCCAGGGAGCAACAACGAATTTGGCCTGTCCTTCCCTTGTGACCCCTTCCTGGCAGGGACACTGAGACAGGAGTCACCGCCCTCCCCGTCCCCAGTTCCCTGGCCAAACCTTTGACTTTTAGCCCGAGACTTTGGCACGGCAGCTGGACCCCCTGCATGGCCTTAAGCTGGCAAGTGCTGCCACCCCAAGGAGTGCATGGTTTGGTACCAGCCTCCCTATCTTGGCCCTTGCCTCCAGGGAGAAGAGGCGTGGAAAAAGGCAGGGAGCCTAGGACCACTAGATCCTCTGTCCCTCCTGCTCTGAGACAAATAGTCCTTTTTTTTTTTCTTTTTAAGATTTTTTTTGTTTATTTGAGAGAGAGCATGAGAGAGAGCACGAACTGGGGCAGAGGAGCCGAGAGAGAGGGAGAAGCAGGCTCCCCGCTGAGCAGGGAGCCCGACTCGAGGCTCGATCCCAAGGACGCAGGATCATGACCGGAGCCTAAGGCAGAGGCCCAAGCAAGTGAGCTACCCAGGGCCCCCAAACAGTCCTTAATATTTATTGAGCAGCTACTATGTGCCACCCAGTGCACAAAGTGCTTTGTAAGCATCATTTCCCTTAATCCTGTGACAGCCTTGAAAGACAATTTACTACCCCATTTCACAGATGTAGAGGCTGAGGCTGAGAAGTGTATGGACTTGTCCAAGGTCACAGAGCTAGAAAGTGGGGGGTGCCAGGCCTCAAAAATAGGACTTCCTGGCTCTTGGCCTCTTCCCTTACTCATGGTCCAACGTGGCCTTGGCTGAGGGTTGACCTCAAGAGGCATGAGGGAGCAGGAGACTTGGAGGTAGTGGTTGTACCCAGGATCTCTTTGCCCATCCTCGGGTCCCCAGCTTCTCCCAGGAAGATGTCCCGGGGCATAAAGGGGTCCTCCCCAAGTCTCCACGTCCATTCAGTCCAGCCCTCCCGGCCTCCCAGTGACACGTGCTGGAGTCCTGGAGCCTGCCGGCTCTAGGCTGAGCCCTAAGTCCCTTCCCTGCACGTGTCCTGTTCCAGGTCTCAATGAAACCCTGACTTCTGCTCCTACCGCCCAGCCTCATATGCTCCACAGACCCCAGGAGTCCGGGGAATGTGGACCCTGGCCTGAAGCTCATCCCATTCAACTGAGGATCTGGCCCAGCCTCGCTTTTGGACCATCTCCTCCCCAACCCCTCTGGGCCCAGGGCCCCATGCCTAATGGCCCAGCCAGCCTGTCCCTCCCTCCCAGAGCCCTGTGAGCCACAGGGGGGGCAGGGCAGTGTGGAAGGGCCTCTGCTGTTCGTCTCTATGCTGCTGCCAATGACAAGCCTGTCTCCCGAGGAGAAGGTGAGGTGGGAGGAGTTCCTCCGTGCCTCCACTGCTCAGAAAGTGCAACCACCCCTTCTTCCTGGGCACCAGGACAGCCCAGCCGACCAAGGGCTCTGCACTGCCCAACAAGAAAGGCCAAGGCACCTCCAGCCAAATGCCCAAGTCTGAGGCTAACAGAGCCTGGGGTGGACATTGATGAGCCAAGACCCAGGCTTGGAAGAGAGGGGCCCCTGCTCTTGCAGGCATGACTTAATCCTCCCTACAATGGGCCACAACACAGGTGCCTGGACCTGCAGAAGGACAGAGCACAGCTGGGGGTCAGGGGATGCGTGCTAGGAAGGAGCTAGTGCTCCTCATGTAGCCCCTGATATCCTCAGTCGGTCTCCAGGCCCCAGTCATCCTGCGTCCTTGATGGATTGTTGTCCACTTCTCCGCCTGCATCCTCATGGCCACTCTCTCGCTCCGACTTCACCATCTCCTGCACAAACCCCTACAGTAGCCCAGGACCAGCCTCCCTGCCTCCAGATCCCTCCCCTCCAGCTGTGCAGCTACCAGAGCCAGATGTCCAAAATGAAAATCCAGCCTGCAAACAGTTCGATGCCTCTCCATCACCAGCCACTTGTTTGTCAAAAAAATGTGGATGCCACATGTGGCAGACAAGGTGTCAGATGCTGGGGACACAGTGGCAATCCAGACAGACAAGGCCCTGCCCTCAGGGAACTCCCAGGCCAGTGTAGGACACAGAGGAGTCAGGCAACAGGTAGACTAGCACGAGAGCCACCTGGAGGTACAGGCTGCGAAGGAAACACAAACGTGGTCACCTAACCTGGTGGGGCGGGGGTATCCGTCCTGCTGTAAACATCCCACGAGTCACGTCTTTGTGCTTAGCCATGATTATTTCCACAGGGTAAACCTGCAAGTTAATTTTATGAGTCAAAAGATGTGCCCATTTTTTAAGGCCTTTGCAAGGACTTGCCAAATTGCTCTCCAAAAAGGCTGGGCCAATCCCAAACACCTGTTGGAGAAGTTGGGGGTGGGGGAGAAGGGAGGAGAAGAGGAGGGAGGACAGCCATGGGGTCCCTGAGGGGCAACGACGTGCCATTTTCACGGACATGCTCCATGCGGAGGCCTGGGTGGGTCTGCTGTGTGGACAGAGCGGCTGGTGAGCGGAGGACAGACACAAGACAGGACCTGGTTCCTGTTTTGCCACCACCATGTTTTCCATCTGGGACAATGACCTGCAGCCCAGGAAGGGGGGAGTGAGGGGTTTAGGACCCTGAGACTCATTCAGCAACAGACAGGTGCTGTGTGCCAGGCACAGGGCAAGGGGCTGGGTGAGCAGAGATTCCCCCCCACCCCTGCCCTGGGGCAGCATGGACATGGCTGGAGGGGGTCATGCCAGAGGAGCTGAGAGGCCCTGCAGCGACTGTCACAGGGGCTGCAGTGAGAGGGGATCATGATGGACCCCAGGGCGTGGGAGTAAGGGTGAACATTCTGGACTTTGGTCCCTAGCCTGAGCCTGGGCTTAGGGAGGGAGGGAGAAGGGAATAGAGGAGTCAGGGGATTCATTCAAGACCAGACCTCACCCACCTCCCCTGACAGAATGGGAAACAATGGATCTAGCACCGGGATCTGGGTCAGGCCACTTGGCAGCCTTGCTCACGCAGAGGTTGGGATGCTCTGAGGACTTCCCAAGGCTGTTGTGAGGATCAGATGTCTTTGAAGCCAGGAAAGCAGAAAAGGCCTGGATCTTCATTTCTCCCTTAATATGTCTCCAGAGAGTGACTGTAGTCTGGATGTGGGCGGGCAGTCTGCCCTGGGAGTAGAGGAGGACTGGCAGGAAGGGCACAGCCTCCACTGGGCAGTCTCCCCACCTCTAAGAACAATTCCTTTAGTTCATTTGGTTGTTTGGCTAGTTGTTGCTTGTTTGTTTAGTTGGTGGTTTGCCTGGTTCGGTGCCAAATGGGTAGGCCTTGAGCTTCCCCAGCGCTGAAAGCCTTGCTTGGTGGTGGGACCTCGGACGGGTCATTGCAAGCTGGAAGGTGCACCTGTGATGGGGGGGTGGGTGGGGGCAGGCAGGGAGGGAAGGGAAGCCAAGACAGCAGACCTCACCTTCCCTGTGCCCCTACAGGTACTCAGAGGAGGAGACACGGCAGAAGGTCAGGACTTTCCGGCAGATGCTGATGGAGAAGGAGGGAATGCTCACCAGGGAGGACCGGCCTGGGGGCCACATGTGAGTGCTCCCCTGCCTGGGGGTGGGACAGGGGGGGATGTGAGCTCAGGCAGCAGCTGGGTGCCAGAAGGGTCTTTCCAGAGGGGGTTGGGGGGCGGCGCAAGGTGGAGGAGAGGGCGTGCATCCCATCCATTGGAAGCTCCAGGCTGGCCCTGGGCACAAATCAGGGGCCACTGGGCCCCCCAGCATCCCCCAGGGCTCCCCTGCTATGGCTCAGTGGTGGGGAGGCAGCCCAGAGCCCAACTTGGGGAATCCTGGGCTGCAAATCGGGGAAACTCAGAAATGTTCTGATCCCAGGCATGGCCACTGGCTGACAGTGTGGCCCCGGGCCGGTCCGTCCTCCCCAACTATTACCACCTGTAAAATGGGCCCCAGAGTAAACATGGGTTCTGGAAAGTAGGAACCAACACACCAAATGCCATTGCTCGTGTGGCCAAAGTCTCGTCGGGCAACAAGAACAAGGGCTCTGCGGGTCATCTCTTGCTCCTCTCATGGGCCAGGAGGAGTACCAGCGTGCCATAGGCCCCTGGGCATCAAACAGGGAAGTGATGGGGCAGCAGATTTGTCTTACGTTAGAGACCTGGGAACCACTCAAAGCCAGAGGAGAATGCAGCAGGCTGCTGTGAGGATGGTGGAGGCAGCCTGTCCCTGCCAGTGTCCAGGCCAAGGGGTGGGGGTGGGGGGATGGCTGACCAAGCCCCATGCCCGGCAGGCAGTGTGCATGGAAGGAGCATCATGGAATCCACTCAATGGACCTTCCCCTTGCTCAGCCTCGGAGCCCCCACCCAGTTCTGGCTCTAGGTGGGACTGAGGCTGGGTGAGCAGCCAGGGTAAATGCTCCTGGCATTTCCTCCACGGTGGGACTAACTTGGGAAGCAAGCCTCTTGCTGAGGCCCTAAACCCCTGTCACCTTATCTCACACAAATCAAAAGGACAGCAACACCTTCTGAGAGATTTTCCCATTGCTGTTGTCGTAAGGACAAATGGCCCTTCGGGAGTAGACGGACCTGGATGGGCAGCGGGGAAGCCCTTTCTTCTTCCTTCTGGACCGCTGAGGGCTCCAGGGGTGGGGGAGTCCCGCCTGACCTCACCTAAACCTCACCTCTCCGGTTCGGGGTTGGGTAGGAGCAAACATGGTCAGAGCAGCCCCAGGCTCGTGGGGGGCTCATGGGTGATCTGGGGGAGCCAGGCTCAGAGGTGATGAGGTGATGCTACCACCACCTCCCTCTCTCCAGGCACCCAGAACTCACAGCACCCCCAGCCACTCCTGCGCCCTCCCTTCAGTGGTGCCCATCCAGCCCTACCCACCCAAGGGCAGGGTCAATGCCTCTCTCCCCTTCCCAGAGCTCCTGACAACCAGAGCCTCCTCCAAACCAAGACTTTCTGACCTGTGCCCCCTCAAATCACCCCAGAGCTTTTCTGGAAAGTCACGCTCTTCCACACAGTGTGAGGGCAGGAGGCCTGTGTGGACTCTCCGGCCATCTTCCCTGGCCCTTCCAGCAAGAAGCCTGCCCTTCTTCCCTCTCCCGGGCTCCTTCCTTCTAATGAAATTCCCATCCTTCCTCAACTCCACTTCCTCCTCTGGCCACCACCCTACGTTTTTCTCTCCTTTCTCAACCGAATTTCCGTGGAGTGTGTGGCCCACTTGGCCTCTACTTCCTTAGGCCACGGGAGCCATGGTGGGTTTCTGCCCTCCCCTGCTCGCCCTGTGGCCACCAGAGCCCTACCCCTCTTGGCCCTGTGCCTCTCTGCAGGCCTGGCCTCTCTCTCTGGCAGGTGCTTCCCCATCTGGAAGCCTCCTCTTCTCCTGGCTTCCAGGGTGCGGTTCCGTGTCGCCCCCTGCCCCTCCGGTGGCTCTCTCTGTCTCTCCTGCTCCTGCCCTCCTCCCAGATGTTGGACCCTTCCCTCCACTCCCTGGGGGGAATCTCATCTGTGAGCCAGCTGGGACTGCCTCCTCTGAGCCAGTGACTCTCCGGGCTTCTTCAGTCGTCTTGGTCTTATCTTCCCTCGGATGAAGGAATGATGCATTTAAGAACCAGGGACGCACTGGGAAATCGGCCACCGTGTCCATCAGCAGAAGACGTGTCCTTGAGGGTCTAGTGCTGCACGCCTCCCCCTGTGCCAGTGCTAGGAGTGGGGAGGAGAAGTGGGGAAGATGGGGCCCCCGCCCTCTGCAACCTGAAGCCAGGAATTACCAGCAACTCCTGACCAGAAGAGACAACAGGGTGGCCCCTTGAACCCCTTAGCCCTTGGGCCTTGTGTGTGTTCAGTGGAGGAAGAGAGAGAGGCAGGTGGGTGTGGTCAGTCAGGAAGGGTCCCTTGGAAGGGGCAGTGTCTGGAAGACTTGGGGGTCGGGGAGGACTCCTGCTCTGGAGGCAGAGGAGAATATAGCCTTGGCCAGGGGTCCTGGGATCCCACTCTCATGTTGGAAGACATTGAAGACACAATCTTTATTGGTTCTCTTTACTGCTATCTCCCTGGTGCCTAGAACAGTGCAGCTTGCCCGATTTTCCCCGAAGTTTGTCTCCTCCTCTATATGGGAAAAGGGACAGGGTCAGAGGCTTCTCCTAGCTCAGGCAGCCCAAATGGTGTGAAAATAGCACTCTGGTGACTACAGCAAGCCAAGGAGGCTGATGGCTGCCTGGAATCCTCACAGGCTGGGAGGAGCTAGCTGTTTGCGGTGCTGAACCCAAGGCCCAAGGCAGAGAGGTGACAGGGAGCTGGTGACAGATTGGCCTGCCTTCCTGCGGACCGGGCATCTGAGCCTGTCTTCACTTCCTAGCTCAGAGTCTGGGGTAGTGGAAGGAGAGTATGGGCTCTGGCGTCAGACACCTCACCTGCCCCAACCTCTAAGCTCAGTGTGAACAGCCTGGGCCCTGGTTCCCAACTCTGCCACACCCCAGCTGTGTAACGTGGGCAGGCCCTTGACTTCTCTGGGCCTTTGCTTCTTTATTTATACAGTGGACCACCCGGCAGTCCCTGTGCTTATGCATCTGGCTTCCTGCCCCTGAGACCCCGGGCCCTCATACACTGGCATTTTGAGACATGGAGAAATCCGGTGCCCTCTTAGAGTGAGGTGACAAAGCCAGAGCCAGTGGAAGGGTCACCACACGGGGAGGAAGTGAGGAGGGAGGTCTGATTTTAACCCGCTATGGACTGTAAGAGCCCATGGCACCTCCCACCCAAGAAAAGAGTCTTGATGGGGCAGGGTCACTCCCAGAGCTTTTTGTCCCCAGGGAGCATCTTTTTTCCTTAAGTTAATCGACTGGTCTGAGTGACAGCCTCTTGAGACAGACCCCCTTCGGTCTACTCTCCACACTGGATATAGGACATCTATTCCATAGATGATGGGAGCCAGTGGAAGGTTTCTGGGAGGTGTGATGTGGTCAGACAGGTGTTTGGGCACTTTCCTCTTGGGAAGAGGAATCAGAAGGGTGACGCGGCAGGGAGATTAGTGGGGCAGCTAGCACTCTAATCGGGAAGCGAGGTGAGAGAGAGCACGTCCCAGAGACATTGAGAGAGGACACGCCTTTGTCCTTGGAAACTGATCAATGTGGGGAACCTGTTCCTCCTTGGAAACCCTCTGTGGTTCCCCACCACCCAGGCAACCAAGCTGGACTCGTTGGCCTGCCGCTGGGAGGCCCTCCCCACTCTCAGCCCAGCCTCGTGCCCCACTCCCAGCCTCACGCAGCAGCCAGTCCGACCTGCTGGCAGACCCCAGCTCCCTCCTGTGCACTCTCCTTTCATGCCTTTGCTCGTTCTAGGCCCTTCTGCACCTGGTTCAAGTTCGCCCCATCGCTCAAGGCTGCCTCCAAAAACCACTTTCCCAATATTCTTGGGATAAAAGTGAAACCTTCTCCTCCTTGGAACCACACGATGCTTTCTTACTTCTTGTGGTTGCTATCAGTTCTTTTTTATTTTTTCGTCCCTCGCTCTGATAGACAACCTTTAAGAAATAATTGCTTTCATAGTTACGTAACATCACAAAATGCTTGGGAGAGAGAGGGCTTATGGAAAACAACATTCATAAGCTACTCCCTCACACAGTGAGCAAATTCCAGTGTTGTTGTTGTTGTTTTTCTGTGCATCTAATTTTATGCATCGAGCCACCTTTCGGGGCCTCATTATTTTATCTATAAGATGAGAATATTAATGATGGTACCCATGTCACTGACTTGTTCTGTGCATTAAATGGCTAAATGAGATAAACACACATCAAGCGCTTAGAATAGTACCTGACACCTGCGTTAGTAATTATGGCAATACGCCCCAGGGCACTGTGAGGAGCCAGAGGGGGGGCCCCAGGCCTGACTCATCCCTGTTCCTGCCGCGGTGGGGGCCCCCTCCCCCGCTTGCCCCCTGCCCACGCCTCAGGCAGGCCTGGCGCTGGCTGTGTGAATCAGCAGAGAGGGCAGACCCTTTGCCTGGAATCCCCCCCTCCTCTGTCTGGCCTCATTCATCTGTCAGTTAGCTATCATGCTCCCGGCTAGTGGCAAGCAGAGCAAGTTCATTAGAGAAACTGGCATGAGAAGAGCGTGTGAGCGGCAGTCTTTACCCAGGTCAGAGCCTTGCCCAGGGCAGCCAGTCCCAACAGGTGTCCTGTGCGGTGCGGAACCTCCATCCGTGCTCCGTCCCTCTGCAGTAGACCCCGAGTGCGTGGCTGGCTCTGGCCAGCTCTGTGGGGCTTGGACTGTTCCGTCACAGGGGAGTAACGCCTCCCCTGCCTAGTCCACAGACGTGGGGAGGTGTCGACTAGCTGACAAACACGAATTTAAGAGCAGGAAGTGCTGAACAAATCTGGAACTTGGTGCGTATACCTACAAATGTGTCTATAAAGCAGAGAGGCCATGGCTGGGCTAACATCTGCAGCGGAGGCCAGCTGGGAAAGTCAAGGCCTGTCTGTTTGACCATGAATTCTCAAAGCCAACTGCCTAAGTGAACTTACATTCTCTACTCAAAGGGGATGTTCCTTTCCTTCTCCGGGCCTCAGTTTATTCATCTGTAAAATGGGGGGTGCGATTTCTCTTAATCAGGTAGTGGCTCAGATTGGGATTTGCGAACCATGAGGAGCTCATGGAAACGTTAGAGAACATTATTGTTAGTGATATTATCATCCAGGAAAGGCAGGCTAGGAGAACGCAGGTTTCTGGCCTTGGGAGATCCTACAAAACAGATATCCTGATACCAGCTGCACCAATTCAGCAAGAGAGGCCGCAGCCTAGGCCCATTTATAGCCCTGGAACATACAAGGCAAGTCTTACCAGGAAGTTCTGAGAACTTGTGCCTCTCCCTGAGCCCACTACTCAGGCTCTATGCTTGTCTTTCAATGCTCCTAGCAGACAAGATCCCAAGTAAACCTCTCAGAAGGGACCAGAGAGTGAAAAAGGCCACATGAGAGGACCCCAGGGAGGGAGGATGCAGAAGCTCTATCCCTGGGCCAGAGGAAGAAAGATGTCTGTAGGGGTGTGGCCAGCAGAGCAGGAGGGCACAGCACAGGAAGGAGGAGTTCGGATGTTACAGGCCAAAAAGGATTCCTGCAGAGGGCAGTGCCCAAACTGAGCTAGTCTATTTTGTAAATAACCTTCATCACATTTGTGTCAAGATAAACGGAGGCTCCCTCCAGCCATCAGCTCACCCACACGATGTTTGAGGGGCCCTTAAGTTTTGCTGAAGACTGTGTTTTATGTGTTCGGCATTTGTGTGGCTGAGGGCTGTGTGGGGGTGACAGGGCTGGGGATGGTGGGAGGCTGGACAGGCCGAGGAGCTGGAGATTTCAGAAACAGGAAGGAGGAAGCTACTGGCTTCAGGAAGAGCAATGTGGGGAAGAGAGGTTTGAATGGAGGGATGTGAGGATGTTTGGCTCTGTGGGGATAAGGATGACATGAACCCCTCCTCCACCACCCCAGAAAAATCTCCCATACTACCTGTGTGACCTCAGGGTTGCCCAGACCAGGTGTGTGTTTAGGAACCAAATGGCATTCTTGATATTGGCCCCAAGAGGTATCGCTTCCCTGTCAGATTTGGGTTACATTCTTTTTTGGGGGGAGGTTTTTTTTGTTGTTGTTGTTGTTTGTTTGTTTGTTTAGAGAGAGAGAGAGAGAGAGAGAGCCGGGGAAGGGACAGATGGAGAGGGAGAAAGAGAGACTCTCGAGCAGGCTCCACACCCAGCACAGAGCCTGACACGGGGCTCAGTCTCACGACCCTGAGATCATGACCTGAGCCAAAATCAAGAGTCAGACGCTTAACCGACTGAGCTACCCAGGGCCCCCCCCTTCTTTTTTTTTTTTTAATACATCAGTCCTTCAAAGAGCAGATTCGTGGGTGCTCTACTGGAGATGTGCCCCTGAAAATTCTTGCTCTTTCTTTCATGTGTCACAACCCTGGAAGAGAAGGTATCAGTGCTTTAGTGTCTAACAGAGGTCCCTCTAACAGTGGTGACCATGTGCGGGACAACTGTCGTGGGCCAGGCCTGTTGCTCCTGTCAGGAGCTTCACAAACAGAATCTTACTTAATCCTCTCCTCAGCTGGGATATTCTTTTCCCGCTTGTGGAGATATAAGGAGCTAGAGACTCCACGAGCATTTGTCATGCCTGGATTGAGACCTGTCTGTGTGAATCCAAAGCTCGTGTCATATCCTTAATGCTCTGGGCAGGGCAAGAGTGAGCCTGGTGAAGGGCACCCAGGAGTGAGGGTAGTGGTGCCGAACCAGGGATGAGGCTCCATCTGGGAGGGGCGCTGTCTGAACCTGCGTGAACTGAAGAATGGAAGGTGGGGAGGCCCCCTCCTTGAAGCCATTGCCCTGGAGCTTGGCCTTTGGAGGGTCACTTCTGGGCTTGTTCAATTAAAAAAGGAGCTGCACAGTACTGGTTACCTCAGCGAATTCTCCCAGGAGCCCCATAACGTAGTCATCACACTCATCTTGGAGAAGAGGCTCGGGCAGGGGGCATGACAGGTACCAAGTCACACGGGGACTCGGGGCCAGCGCGAGATGAGGGCTCCTCTGTCGCTTGGAAGCTCATGCTCTTGCCGGAAGCCCAGCTGCCTTTAGGAGGCAAGCCTCCCTCCACCAAGCGCCCGCAGGGAGCAAACATCTGTGGCAGAAGATGGCTGGGGGCCCCCCGAGCCAGCCGCGGCGCCCCGGCTGAGTGCAGCGGAGGGCTAGGCAAGATGGATGGGGAGCCTCGGAGGCGGTGGAGGGCTGGGGCCCGCGGCGCTGCCACCGGGCAGTGATTGATGACAGCCCGGCAGCCGGAGAAGAGCAGCCAGGCCTCCGGAGGACAGGCCATGAATATTTCAGAGCGGCAGCCGGGGCTGGGGGACGGCGTGTTGGGGGCGGGGGTGGGGGGGGGAGCCCTGCCCTGGAGGCAGCCCTTCATTCACCCAGATCCCCGCCTGACCCTCTAGAGGTCGGGGCCGCACCCCAACGACCTTGCGGGGGACCAGGCCTCGGGGCGCTGCGCGGAGAAAGGGGCAGGCGGAAGGCGCGGCCCCGGGGCGCGGGTGGTGAGCGTCCGTGTCGCCGGCAGCGTGGCGGAGACCCCGCGGCTGCTCGAGGGCGCGGACCCGGGCCAGGAGTACGCGCCCTTCGACGAGGACGACGGCCCGGTGGACTGCGGCTGCCCGGCCGCCTGCTACCGCGGGCACCGGGGGTACAGGTCAGCGCCCACCGCGGCAGGGGGCGGGGGGGGGGCAGGGCCGCCCCTCCTCCTTCACCCCTCCTCCCCTTCTCCCCCAGGACCAAGCACTGGTCCAGCAGCTCGGCGTCGCCCCCTCCCAAGAAGAAGAAGAAAAAGAAAGGCGGCCACCGGAGAAGCCGGTGAGAGCGCCTCACCGCCAGGCCGGAGGGGGCGGGAGGGGCGGGAAGGGCGGCGGTCCCCGGGTGCCCACCCCTCTGCGGGCAAGAGACCAGAGGCTGCTGCATTTGGGAGCCCCGCACCTCGCTGAGCAACACCCCCCTCACTGGCCCCTCACTGGCCGGGGCCCTCGACTCCCTGAGTCCCCTCATTGGCACTCACCCAACCCCAGCACTGGAATACTGACCCCTGCTTGACAGTCCATCTGCTGGAGGTCCCCCTTCCTCCCTCCCCCAGCAGCCCTGCAGGCACTCACCACACCAAGTGTGAGTGGCCCGGGGAGGAAGGATTTAGCTGGGTCACCTCTGCGGTTCCCCATCTGTATGTCCCCCTCTCCTGTCCTTAATGAGACCCTGGCAGACGTTTGAGCCCCAACTGTCTGTCTGTCCTTTTCTCTCCCTGGCCCCTCAGCAAAAAGAGGAGACTGGACTCCGAGTGCAGGTCAGTGATAAAGGCGGGCAGGGGTGGGGATGTCTGGGTGGGCGAGACTCCCAAGGCCATCCCCCAGAGGCAGGCGGCCTGCCACAGCAGAGCCTGGACCCTGGAAACTGCCAGTGTGCCAGTTTTCCCCACGGAGGCCAGGAATGCCACCACTGGAGCCTCTGACGTTTGGGTGTGAAACAGCCCTCACTTAGGATGCCAAGGAGGCTGAAGGGTGGCTAGGGGACAACACAGGCGGCTCCGTCACCCACCCTTAGGGACCTTGCTGACTCTCGGGGCCCCGGTTCACTTTGTGCAACGGGCAGCTGGCTTCAGCTAGATGCCCCAGGCGGCCAGACTTCCCAGCCATGTCCAGCTGCCCCTGCCCCGCCCCTCCCGGGCAGCAGTTCACCAGAGCCCCCACCCCCCTGTGTCCGCAGCTGTGGGAGCTCCTCACCGCAGCGCAAGAAGAAGAAGAGTGTGAAGAAGCACCGCAGAGACAGGTACCTTCTCTCCCCTGGGTTCTCCTCTCACCTCTGTTGACCCCGGACTGTGGCTGTGCCGATCTGTGTCCCCAGGCCACCCCAGGAAAACTCAAGAGAACTCTTTTGTGACCCTCCAGGTCTGATTCTGGGTCCCGGAGGAAGAGACGACACAGGTGAGTGATGCCCTGCTGAGGATGTGGACAGAGGCCAGTGCCACCCTGCAGGGCCAAGGCCCAAGGGAAGCAATGATGGGAGGGGCGTGGTGAGGGTCTTTCCCTGCTCCATCCTCCCCCGTCCTGGGACTCCTTCCCAGAGCCAAGCAGGGGAAGGAGGGCGGGAGAGGAGGATGGAGGCCAATTGTTTGCAACACTTGCTGGTCCCATGAGTCAGCCTTGACTTGGGGACCCTAAGAATTTCCAGACAACACAGCAGGTCCATTATCCAAGGGGTGTGTCCATAGAGGTGTCAGAAAGAAGAAGCATCAGGACCCCAAAATTGCAGGGAAAGGGCATCCAAACAGAAGGAAAGCTCAGTAGCTAGGGGACCGGTAGGCAGGCTGTGGCTAGCCGTGGTGTCTAGGGGACAGGTGCCAGCCCCCAAACGACCTGACTGCCAGGTCAAGGAGGGAGCCTCCAACCAGACAGGGCTGGGAGCCAGCATGGGGCCCTGAGCAGGACAGAGACTTGTTCAGGGTGGACTGGGGGAGGGGGGAGGAGGAGATGAAAGTCAAGAGCCCTGGCAGAGGCTGGGGTGGGAAAAGTATAAAACTCAGCGAGGAGGAAAGGAAGACGTAGGGCGGTCACATCCCCAGGGCTGGCATGGGAGACAGAGCCCCTCCCAGTGGCCCTGAAAAGGGTCAGGGTCCCCAGTCTCATTCCTGCAGTGGGACTTTGCCCATGGCCACTTGTCAGGTGGGGTAGGAGCATAAACACACACCTAATCCCTACATCAAAAACTAATGATGTAATGTATGGTGATTAACATAACAATAAATTTTTTTTTTAAAAAACCCTAATCCTGACCCTCCGATTTCCCCAATTTCCCATCCCCTCTTCCTTCCCTTCCTCTCCTCCCCTCTTCTTAGGGGCCAGTGTGGGCCCCTACTGCCCCCTAGTGGTCACCATCAGTGTGCACCGATCCTCCGGCCAGCTCCCATTGGTCCTGGGAAGGACCTAAAGGTGACCTCGGGCTACACCAGCTCCAGATGGGGAGACTGAGGCCCAAAGCAAGCAACATGAGTTCTAGAAATGAAATCTTTGGCCTCCTGGGCCTGTCCCCACCCACCCTGCTCCTGTGAAAAACACATCCTGTTGTTTCTTAGCATCACCTGGATATTTGGTCAGAAGAAGGCATCTGTTCAGGGCTAGAAGGATCGAGCTGGAATCTGGTGGCATCAGGGAGGGTAGGGCTGAGGGCGCCTACAGGGACCAGGGGTGGAGTGAGACCTTAGACACCTACTAGGAAGCTTTTCAATCCTTTTGTCAAAGATAGAAGGAGCACTGTGGGGCCTGCCCCAGAGAGCTGGATGGGATGGGACAGTATGGGGCAGGATTGGGTGGGATGGGAAGCTTTAGGGGCAACCCTCGATGAGTATCCAGAGGACCCAAATGTCAGGGAGATCATGCCCAAGCGAGAGTATTTCTTTCCTAAACTCCTGGGGAGCTGGCCCAGAGCTGAGCCACAGTCTGAGGGGGCAAAGAGGCAGGAAAGCCTGGGCTCTGCCCTAGAGAGCCCCATCTGAGGGGACCTGGGGCCCAGGGGACACAAACGAGATGTGGAGGGGTCACTCCAGCATGATGACTTATAGAAGGGCCTGTCCTGAGACTGATTCCAGAAGGAAAGGACAAGTCAGCCTTCTTTCTGGGGCGGTGGACACATCACTTATGGCACCCCCAGGAGAAGCAGCTACTGGGGCTCAGACAGGCCGTGGTCGTGGGCCAGGGCCTACAGGAAAAGGAAGGAAGGAGGCTTGGCTGAGTGAAAGGAACCAAAGCAGTGGGGTGGGATGAGCAAGTCCGCCCGGCTGGGGGTGGGAACTCAGGTCCCAGACAGGAACAAATCTCAGATGCACAGCCAGGCACAGCCCTCCTCCTGCCCCCCTGCTGGGCTCAGGCTGAGCTGTCACCTCAGCCTCTGCTTTCTGCAGATCTCGAAGCCCCAAGAGCAAAAGAAAAGAGAAGAACAAAGAGAAGAAGAGGTGAGAACCCTTCCCCATTCTCTAGCTCCTCCCCCTCCCCCCTTCTAGAATCACAGAATTGGGCCCTTGGAGATACTTCATTTTGTCCCCGCTGCCCAGATAGAAAAATTCAGACCCAGAGAGGAAGCCAAGAGCCCCTGCCAGTCAGTGGTGGAGTGGGAACTGGGACCCAGGCCTCCTGCCTCCTAGTCCGGGGTTCTTTCAAGCTCAGGCCTCGTCACTCCCCCCAACATCCCTGCACCCCTAGTCACAAGAGCACCAGCTGAGGGGTTCGTGAGGTCTCGGGGACCAGAGCTGTCTAGACAAAAGGACGCCTTTTCCTAATTCCCACAAATGACCCACCACCTGGACTAGGGAGGTTATATCTGTAGGAGACTGTAGGGGGTGGGGGTCCCCCTTGGGGAGGTCAGGCAGAACTTAGGTACTGGAGGGCTTCTCTCCCAGGCCACATGCGGAGTCCCCAGGTCGGAGGTCCAATCGCCACAGCAGCGGCAGCTCTCAGAGCCCCTCCCTCTCTTCCCATTACAGCGATTCCAGATCACCCAGCAGGTAGGTCCTGGGCCCCTGGGAGCACTCCAGAGGTGGTTCAGCTCTGCTTTCTTGCAGATTGAACACTCCAGAGGGCTGGAGAAGGGGCGGGGGAAGAGGACGGTGGACAGAACAGCATGGGGGGGGATGGAAGTCTACCATGAGGGTGAGCATGTGCCCACCCACCCTGGCAGTGGGCGAGGAAGAGCTTCGGCCCCTGCCCAGAGACGCCCCAGACCCTGAACTGGAAATCGAGACAGTGTACAGGTTAGGGCTTTGCTCTCTGAATGCAAGGGAGAAGGCGAGGGGGGGGGGGCTGCTCTTCGTGCGGGAGCAGCGGTTCCACTTGCAGAGGGGGCGTCCCACGCCGGCTCCCCCCATCTTCTCTTCTCCCCCAAGGCTGAGCCCCAAGCACCGAGATGACGGGCGGAAGACGGGCAGCCAGCGGTCCAGCGGGAGCCGGTCGCCTTCCCCGTCTGGCGGCAGCGGATGGGGGTCGCCCCAGCAGAACGGCGGCAACAGACAGCGGAGCGGAGCGCACGGGGGCCGCCCCGGCTCGGCGCACAGCCCGCCAGATGTACGTACGCTTCGCTTTGCAGAGGGTTCCCGCGCCGTGCGGGCTGCGCCGCGATGGGGGCGGAGGGGGGGGGCGTCACCACCGGGCAGGGCGCGGTGAGTGTGCAACGGGGGATATGCGCCGCTTCCCCCTACCGGCTGGAGGGGGGCGACCTGGAATGCTTGGTTGTTGCGCCCACCTGGCCCGAGTGTCAGGGGGAGGGGGGCCTGCAGGCTTGGGCCACCCTGGAGCTTGGCAAACGGACGGCCAGAGGGGGCTTGACCACTGCGGCTCTCAGCCGGTTGGGAACAGAGCTGAGGAGAACCCAGGGTCTCCTGCCGCCCCTCCCCCCAGGCATATTGGGGTGGGAGGGGCATGGACGATGCTAGGGGTCGCAGTCAGGAACCGGATTCAAGAGACAGGATCTCCCCTGGGCATTACTTAGGCCCTGAGTCTCCCTCTCCCCACCAAGTCCTTTCCCCCCTCTCTGAGCACCCTCCCTTCCTCAGCCCCTTCACTGCCTCACTCCCCCTCCCTCAGAGCCCTCCCCTTTCTCTGTCCCCGAGCCGCTGCCACTGAGCTGCATTTCTAAAGTCCCTGCTCCAAGGAGAGTCTGTCCTTCCCCCCCCCCCCCCCCCCCCCCCCCCCCCCCCCCCCCGCCCCGGGACTGCCCACATGTGGACAGATGTCTCAACCCTGCAGGTTCCCATGTCCCATCCTTCCTAAAGCGCCTGCCAGTGTCCCCATTGCTCCCTCAGGGACTCCACACCAACACCACTCCAAAACTGTCCCCACCCATCCTCCAGGAGAGGCACAGAGTCCTTGAGACCCACAAGCAGGTGTGGTGATGGTAGGGGCTGGTAGAACAGACAGGCTTCTCAGCCTTTCCCGGGTGGATGGGCTGGGGCTGGGAGTGGGGGGCTCTCCTGAGCCCCAGGGGAGGCCCACATCCCCTTTTGTCTATTGACTTTGAAGTACAGGATAGAGCCCCCTCAGGGAGAGGGGGCTGCAGTACTGGCAGAGGCACGGGGTGGGCATGGGGGACTTGGGATGGGCAGGCCTGCAGGTTCCCCCCACCAGACCCAAAGTGCCCCAGATGCCTCAGCAGGGAGGGTGGGGGCTGCCCCTCCCCAGACCTCAGGTCTCAGCAGCAAACATGTCCGTGTTGGTCAGTTTCATTTTGATTTTTGGCTGTTTCCTTCACTCCCTTTCTTTTCTCAAACACCCTTACTCCCAAGACCTTAGGGAGGAAAGCCAAAGGCAGCTGACAAAAGGTTATTGATCTCAAGATTAATTTTTATTTAAGGACATTACCTGTTTCGAGACTGCCCCACTTGGACAGGGTGCCAGGCTCCTGAGCTCCTAGGGGCCTGGTTGGGCCATGTAGGAAGGATCACACCCATGTCCCAGGATCTGCCTTGGGGGTGGGAGAGGACACACAGAGGTAGCTGGACGCAGTCAGGACAGCGGCTGGTGCCACAGGCCCCAGAGATAATGGTTCCATCTGGGAAAACCCAGGAGAGGGTGTACCCATCCCCCCACCACCAAGGGCACAGAGTGAGAAGCCCAAACACCTTCTCACGGGAGCTTCCCATCCTCCTGGAAAAGCACAGAAGGCAGCCAGGGCCAATAGGAGGCTCCATCCCACTTCTGGTAGCCTCTCCTCCCTGAGCAATAGGCCACCACGGGCCCTGGGCTTGTACTGACAGAGTGGCCATGGTCTACATAGACCCCAGGAGAGAGCAATCAAGGAAGGCGGCCTAGCTTCCAGCCTTGGGGAGGACACCGCCTCAGCAGCACCCAAATCTTGACTCCCTCCCAGAATGGGATTCCATTTTGGCACTGCCCTGGGAGTTTCTGGGGAGACAGCACTTTGTTACCCCTTTCACAAAGCATGCTCCCCAAATCCTCTCCCTGCCCTTGGGCCCTGCGAGATCTGGGACCTCAGGACATCCAGGCCTTTCACCTGCACCTCCTGGGAGGTGAGATGGGGGCGGGGGGGAGGAGGGTGGTGTCGTAGACTTAGCCATTCACCAAAAATGTCTTTGGGGACAAGTACTGGGGGGGGTGGGGGTATTCTTGGACTCTACCTTTAAAAAAAAAAAAAAAGAGAGAGAACAAACGGGAAAAAAAAGAAAAGCTCACCATTTTTAACCCCGTCTATGTTTTTGCTTGTTTTTTTAGCCTCCCATTTGAACCGTGGTAATATTGTGATTCCATTTCTTGTTTAGTTGGCAAGGGAAGAGGGTGGGGAAGTTTATGTAACTTTTCCTGTTATTTTGTTTTTGTTTGTATTTTCTTTCTTTTTTTGTTTCCTTTGGTAATGTACAGAAATGCAAACTATCTCTCTGTTTGTTTGTTTTTTTTTCCTATCTTCTATGTTGTTCTAGAATTTTGCTTTTGTGCGTGTTACTGTGGGAGCCTCTCCTTCTAATGCAGAGATGGGTTTTGAATCTCAAGCGAACATTAATCGTATACATATTTCTATATACTTATTCTTTTTTCCTTTGTAACCAGAATTTAAAAGGGAAGATAACTCTTAAAAAGTGACTCCCACGCCAACAGCTCCTGCCAAATCTGCAGCGGCAGCAAATCCTCTCCTTGACCCCAGGGCATGTGCTGGAACTGCCTCAGTTTTTAAACGAACAGAAGTGGCCCAGACTGTTCTTCCATGTCCCTATCTATAAGGAACCTTGGAGGGAAGCTGGGAAACCCAGGGAGGAAGAGAGACTTGTCCCGAGTCACCTGGGGAGCATCCCAGGGCAGTGAGCACCCGGTGTCTCCCCAGTTCCATCTAGTATAAGATGGCTGGGGATGACAGGGCCAGTCTGCTGAGCACCTTCTGTGGCAGGCCTCAGATCCTAGAGGAGGGAGCTGTACACCCCCAAAAGAGTTTAGCTCAGGTGAGGGCTTCAAAGCCAGACACTCCCAGCAAGAGAACAAGTCCATCCTCATCTTGAGACTAGGGCCAGCTGGGTGCTGGCTCCCAACACATCTTTGTGTTGTTCCATACCACGCCAGGGAGAAACCCCAAAGGGATTTCTGGGTTCTGCTACTTACTGCTCCCTGCAGCTCAGAAAGGTCAAGTGGACCAGCTCAGGGTCACACAGCTTTTTAGAGGTAGACCCAAAAGGAGACTCCAGCCCTCTCACCTCAAGACCACCAGCCACAGCCAAGATGTGGAGAGAGTGGTCAATGGAAAGCACATTCTGGGAACTCTGAGTAAGGGGAGAAGGATTCGGGAGGTGCATGCTGGTTGTCTCAGCTCCTGCCTTCCCCCTGGGGAACCCCTCCAGATGTCAATGACACACCCCCAGCTCTCAACTCCCTGGCACTGGGGCCTGCCCACACAGAGACCAGGGTGTAGGTGGGCCCAGCATTCAGCAAGCCCAACTCCCTATGAGGGCTGCTTCAATGACTCAGGGAACCCTATGCCCTCCCAGTATGGGGACAGAAACAGTGAAGCAGAGAGGGAAGGGGGCACATGATTTGGGACAGAGAAGTCAGATGTTGAGCCCAAGTCCTAGAAAAGGTGTGCAGGGTTTAAGGACTTAGAAGTAGGGCCCCTGCCTTGGCTCTACCTGTCCCTGGAATTGCAAGTGTCAAAGGGAAGACTCACTATTCGGTGAGGGTGACAGAGAAGTTTCCTGAGCAAGGCCCCTATAGGCTCTCTCTGGCCTCTAGTTTTGGCTCAAATGTCATCACAAAATGGGCAGCCTAGGGTGACCCCAAGCAGAGGTGCCCATGGCACTGCCTGACCTGCCCCATCCCAGGCCTCCCCCCTACCTGCCCCCAGAAAGAGCAGTGACCACAGCCGGAGGGAGGCAGTCAGAATAGGAAGGGGCATCTTGGCCTTTCTTCCAGGATGAAGCCAGAAGGTAGGAGGGATGAGTTTTCCTAAAATGATGCAGAAGCCCCAGGAAAGTGGCAGGCCTGAGGCAAGATCTGACCTCCAACCAAATCTGTGGTTGCCTTCCCTTTTAAATGCACCCATCCCTTCACCCCATCCATCCACTCTGCATTGTTGAAACAGCTTTTCTCTCCTTTTTCAATGTGGGCCCACCTCTCTCTATCCCCTGCCTGTCTATTTCCTTCTGCCTTTGTTTCTCTCGCTCGCTCGCTCTCTTTGTGTCTCTCTGTCTCTTTCTCTCCATCTCTCTCTCCCCAACGTGGGCCTCTGTCCCCATGCTGCCAGCCCCTCTCCTTAGCCCACCCTCTGGTTCTGCTTCCATCAGCTGCTTCCTGCATGCCCTCTGGAGGTTTTCTGTTGTTTAAAGAGTTAAGGAAAGCTTGGCTTATTGAAGCCGGTGGGTTTAAAAAAGAGAGAGAGAGAAAGAAAGAAAAAAAAAAAAAAAGCAAACAGAACTGGCTGGGCAGGAGCCCCCTCCCATCCCTGGGACTAGAACAAAAGCCACACGGGCTGCACAAGTGCTGGTTCCCAAGGGGGAGCGCAGCCTAGAGTCACTCTGTCTCCCCCCTCCTTCTGCATTCCCAATGCGGAGACCTTCTTTTCTTTTTTATTATTGCATTCCTGTCCCTGACCACTGAGAAGGTAGGTACCCCGGCTCAGCTGTGCGCCCGCTCGCTCCCCATCTCCAGATAAGCCCCTCCACTCTGCTTGGTTTGAATGTGGTTTTCTCTCTCTTTCTCTCGATCTCACTCTGGTTGGTTTTCTCCCCCTCTCCCTTTTCTTTCTTTATTTTAGTGACTACTCATTTGTAACCTTGCATTTTCTCCAAGTGAGCTACAAAGCTGTGTTTCCTGGTTTGTCGTTTGGTTTTTTGACTCCCTCCCACCACCCCCCACAACTTTTCTTGTTCATTCTCCCCTCCTGTCCACCTGCCCTGCTCCTTCTTCTTCCTCTCCCACCCTGAGCCCTGTCCACCTCCAGCCCCCTCCACTCCCTCTCTTTCTCATTTTGTTGTCCGAATGCATTTCTGTGTGGTTAGCATTCCAAGTTTGTGTTCCCTTCCTGAACTGTATGCTGCGGTTGAGCCAATTTGATTTCTATTGTCTGGAGT